AAGTCCAATAACCTTGTGAACCCTAAATTCTGAACAGCAAACTAAGTTTTTCAATGTTCTTCACTCTTCGGTTTAAAATTTGAAAAGTGTGTTAGCTGAGTTATAGGGGGTCGATGAGGGGGGGGGGGAAGGCTACGCGATGATTTTTAACTTATTGATTCAATATCGAATGCGAGATTCCAAAAGATTCAGAAACACAATGTTGAATAGAATTTGTATTGACAATAACATCTCTGAATTTTCGTATTTCGTTTTATGCTTAATCTATTCGTTTCCCCCCTTGAATCCTTACATGCATACATGAAAGGGTTAAGTAAGTGATATTTGGTAAATATAGGGTTAATGTAGATGGATAGGTTGGCTAATTTGACTGACTGATTGATTGATTGATTTGTATGGACAGTACACAGTATATTCCCCCCGGGGTTTCTGATTGTTGAGATACAACTGATTAGACGGTTCACTAGACTGCCTCTATACATTATAGGTTGAGGCACGGGAAGATTATTCATTAAATAATTGGTTATTTATCTTATAAAGGATTAATCGCGAAAACAGTTTGTTATTTCTTTACATTGGAAAAGGTAAGGCATGCAGTATTATGTTTCAGGTTCAGACAGCTTCATCCTATACAATCTTTGATTTTTTGTGAACACGCCCTTTAAACACGGCAAACAAACCTGAAGGATCGTGTTCAGACAAACATAGATACATGTTAAGATGTAAATACGAAAAAATCCAAATCGAAACGGTCGTTTTTAAAAACGATTGTTTTTAAAAAAAAAAACAATTGTATAAACAACGGTCGCTATTCGTTTTTATAGAAACGATCGTTTAAAAAACTATCGATATTCGTTTTCTAAAAGTTCAAAACGAGTGGGTCGTTTTTAAAAACTTTTTTTTCGAAAACGAAACAACGAAAAACGATCGGAAAACAAAAAAACAAAAAAAACTATCGTTTAACGATCGTTTTCAAAAACGATTAACAACCCTAACTGTCCATAAGTGCATGCAATATATATTTGTGTGCGCAATGCTCATGAAATGTAAGTACATGATAAGCAAACCTGTTAGATCTGCGGACACGTCCTGGTAATATTGATCCAGCTGGAATAAGATGAGCTCCATCAATCCGTCGTAACAGGGGATCCTAAATAAAAGATGCAGTGAAATATCAAGCCACATAAATATTGAAATGGGATCTCAGAGAAAAGAGCAAAATTCAAGACACATAGTACAGGGTACAGGAGACAGGGTAATGGATACAGGAGACAGGGTAAAGGATACAGGAGACAGGGTAAAGGATACAGGAGACAGGGTAGAGGATACAGGAGACAAGGTAAGAGATGCAGGAGACAGGGTACAGGATACAGGAGACAAGGTAAGAGATGCAGGAGACAGGGTAAAGGATAAGGAGACAAGGTAAGAGATGCAGGAGACAGGGTAAAGGATACAGGAGACAGGGTAATGGATACAGGAGACAGGGTAAAGGATACAGGAGACAAGGTAAGAGATGCAGGAGACAGGGTACAGGATACAGGAGACAAGGTAAGAGANATGAGTTTAATTTTTCTCGCAAGTGTACGGGATATAGAGTACTAGATATATCCAGTATTAGGAGATATCTGATTATTACAATGAATCATGTAACCTTACGTTATTCAAATTTACCAACTCTCGTATCTCAAACAGTTTGACAGATCATTTTTTTAATTCTAAGTGTTTTCCTCAATTCCCGGTTCTAATCCTTGTTTTAATTGTTGGATCAATATAATAAACATTCCTTGCTTTCTAATGCTCATCATAGTCTTGGTTCTTATTCCCATCATAGTCTTGGTTCTTCTTCGCATCATAGTCTTGGTTCTTATTCGCATCATAATCCTGGTTCTAATTCTCATCATAATCCTGGTTCTAATTTTTATCATAATCCTGGTCCTAATTCTCATCATAATCCTGGTTCTAATTCTCATCATAATCTTGGTTCTAATGCTCATCATAATCCTGGTTCTAATGCTACTCTTAAACCTGGATACAATTTCTCATCATAATCCTGGTTCTAATTCTCATCATAATCTTGGTTCTAATGCTCATCATAATCCTGGTTCTAATGCTACTCTTAAACCTGGATACAATCTTCATCATAATCCTGGTTCTAATTCTCGTCATAATCCTGGTTCTAATCCTCAGCATAGTCTTGGTTCTTATTCGCATCATAATCCTGGTTCTAATTTTTATAATAATCCTGGTTCTAATTTTCATCATAATTCTGTTTCTAATTCTCATTATAATCCTGGTTCTAATTCTCATCATAACCCTTGTTCTAATTCTCATCATAATCCTGGTTCTAATACTCCTCTTAATCCTGGCTCTAATACTCCTCTTAATCCTAGTTCTAATCCTAATCAAAATCCCAATTCTAGTTCTCATCATAATCCTTATTCTAAACCTCACCATTGATGCATTGGTAGAATCTTCGATCCTCTCCGCATTAAACCCAGAAAACTCCAGTTCTTTCTCTTTTCGTTCTTTCTGCTTTGCTGCCCTTTGCGCGTCAGATCTAAACAAAAATATTTTAAGATTATGTATTTTTACATATAACATCAAACTAAACCTAATTTGTTCATTTTTAACAGAGTTATCCCTGATATCCCGATATCCCTGATATTCTATCTAAAAATTTGTTGTTTGCAACTGTAATGTTTGTTATAAAATTACAATAAAGTAAAAGGAAATATAGAGAGTTTACATGGTTTCAAGCCAAAAAACCACGACATTTTGCTTATTATGGATCAGATTCAAATATAAAAAGCCGTATTTAATTAGGCATGTCACGCTCAGGGTCATTTGAAATTAAGTACACAGTCTAAATATAGAAATAGGAGATAACAACTCCATACTGTTGAACGATCTGTGAGAATTGCTTACACTTTCTTTTTATTGACTGTAAAAATTGCTGATATACATTAATTTTGAGGTATTCTTTAAAATTTGTATTTCTATTGAAGAATATCTCATATTTTGGGGAATGTTTAATCTATCTTAATGAATACGAACCTACACACTTGAAGGAAATTTAAGATCCCTTCTCTAAAGTTTTCCCTTTAAACATATAAAACTATTCTTTCCATTTGAATGTTGGAAAAGTTTATACATTCCAACTATATTTGAAAGTTTAACTGTTCCATCAATATTTATGTATCCGGCCTCAAACAAACTCCAATTATAAACTTTACAAAACTTTTCTTCAGGGGCATTTTAAGGACAGCTTAGGCACAGTTTTTAATTGCAATACATATAACCTCATTGAATTGTATATATATGAATATATGTATGAATCTGATTGCAGAGTTTTAAATATCAAAAGCCTATGATATAAAACACGGTTGCAGAGATATAAAGATTAGAAAATACGATTTTAAGCAAATGCTTAGATCTTTCAGATTAAATTTTACAAATATTCATATTTCATTCATTGTCTCTCATTTTAAAGAATTTGTTTAGAAGAAGGTAGAAGTTTTTAATTTCTAATATATAATATACAGCCGGCCAAATAAATATATTTTTTTTAAACCAGTATAGCTCATTAAAGTTAAAACATACAGATTTAAAACGATCATGTTTAAATCGGACGATCGTTAATTTGTTGCATTGCTTGAACCGCCAAGATCAAGAATACGTGAAACTAACTGATTTAGGCAGTTAATTAAGGATATACATTTCTTCTATATATAAATTTGGCTTGTCTGTTTGTCTGTTTGTTTGTTTGTCTGGTTGTATCCAATAAACGTCAAAACAGCTGAACCGATCGGGCCTAAATTTTTTGTGGGACATCTAGGGACCCCAGGTAAGGTTTATGAATGATTGAAATTTTAAAAATTTGTGTTTTAGAGGTTTTTAATTTTGTAAAAAAATTTAAATTTTTGAAAATCCGCGAATTTTTTTTTAAAAATCCGCAAAATTTTTTTTATCTTTGTTTTGAAATGTAAACAAAAAGAACATGTTCACAATTTAAATAGAAGATGGACGCGAAGCGCCCTAAAAGCCTAGAAAGAAGTGCGCGAAGCGCCTTGAATTTCTAGTTATATAAAAACTATCATAATGTGTAGGGTTGGAGACGTCTATATGTAAACTATATTTAAACCAAATGTGTGATCGGTATATAAGTTGCAGGGCTATTTTTGTTCAATAAATTTTTTTAGCTTACTTTGTTCACAACCATGATGTTAAAAATGTGAAGAAGTTTCAGTATATAGTATAGTATAGTATAAAAGTTTCAATGTAAGCTGTTAATAAGTTATTTTGATCAGGGGGTGGAAACCCCCCCCCCCATCCGTGATAGGGTTAAATAAAGGTTAACTAGGTGTTTTGAAAGCCGTGTTTTATAATCTATTCATGGTGCAGATGCTCTAAAAACCATAATACCTGTTTCAAGAATTACAAAGATACATATTTAATATATCTGTGATATATCTGTGTATTTGTATCCAAGAAGGAAAAAGGAAGTGAAGAAGGATGTTTGTAGCAAATAAAGTTTATGTATTGTTATGTCTCAAGGAAATGAATATGGAATATAGAATATGAAAAATCATGTGTGTGTAATAAATTATAATAAAGTAGAAGACAGTACAGTACAGTACAGTCCAGTACAGTACAGTACAGTAGAGTACAGTAGAGTACAGTACAGTACAGTAAAGCATGATTCAGGAGAGTTTAATGTAGCCATAGTATACAAAGTATTATACAGTGGGTACATTGTTATGATTCAGTACAGTACAATACAGTGCAGTACGGTACTACATTATACAGCAAATCATGATTCAGCACAATGCAGTAAAGTGCAGTACTACATTATACAGCAAATTATGATTCAGTAAAAAGCAGTACAGTGCAGTACTACATTATACAGCAAATTATGATTCTGTACAATGCAGTACAGTGCAGTACTACATTATACAGCAAATCATGATTCAGACTCAGTACAATACAGTGCACTACAGTACTACATTATACAGCAAATTATGATTCAGTAAAAAGCAGTACAGTGCATGTACTACATTATATAGCAAATTATGATTTAGTACAATACAGTGCACTACAGTACTACACTACAGCAAATCATGATTCAGTACAATGCAGCACAGTGCAGTACTAAATTATACAGTAAATTATGATTTCAGTAAAATGCAGTAACGTACAGTACTATATATCATTATACAGTAAATCGTGATTCGGTACAATGCAGTACAGTACAGTACTATATTATACAGTAAATTATGATTCAGTAAAATGCAGTATAGTGCAGTACTATTTAATACAGTAAATCATGATTCAGTACAATGCAGTATAGTACAGTACTATATATCATTACACAGTAAATCATGATTCAGTACAATGCAGTACAATACAGTACTATACTATACAGTAAATTATGATTCAGTAAAATGCAGTATAGTACAGTACTATATACATTATACTGCAATGTAAAATAGGACAGTATAATGCTGTTCAAAATAATACAGTACAGTAAAGTGCAGTACAGAAAAGTGCAGTACAGTAAAGTGCAGTACAGTATTAGTGTAATAAGGCGTTGAATGTAAGATTACAAGATAATCTGAAAGTTGAAAATATTCTTATAATTTATTATCCAAACCTGATTTCCATAAAACATATTTCTGAATATTCTTGAGAAGTTTTCATCATTTCGGAGAAATCTATTTGGGATGATGAATTATAGAAATCTTAAATTAAAGTTTTCAACCTTTTGCATACGCCAAGCTAAGGATAGAAAAATGTCCAAATGTGTTAATGATTTAAAGAGCCTTCTAAAAAAGCTCATAGTTTTTTTTTCAAATCGAAAGAATGAATATTTCTAAATGACTTTATTTACTTTTTTGCTCAAAATCTTCTGTCAGAACGTAAATTTAGACTAGGGTACGGATAAAATAGTAAATTCGTCATTTGCACTATATTATAGTAAATAACGGAAACATAGAACCTATAGAACCTACTTGTCAAGTTCTACTCACAGCTCAGAGTTATAGTTAGTTAGAGCCAAGGATATAATGCAAGGAAAGTTAATTGCAGTTGTGTTTACTCTGCGTACATGCTGAAACCAGTTCTCTCTAGGCGGAATTTGTAAACAAGAATAGATACAAGTATTTGTGTTTATGAATGTGAAGTAAATACACTATAAATACCCAAGGGTTTATGCAAATCCTGAATCTTAATAGTCTGTTGATACCAGTATTCTCTATATATTTGAGAGTATATTCTAGATATATAAGAACACAAAGTGCGAAACTGTTGTTTCTTAAAGGGACCACGTACGCGTTATTTCAAGTGGCTCTTAATGCAAAAATGACAATGGAATTATATTTCCATGTTTTTCCATGAATTAAAACTAAATTTCAATTTAAAAGTTTAAACTTTGGAAATCAAGTTTAGTTGTTGAAGCTCAGCGCCATCCTTAAAAAAAAAGTTTTGCCATCTCAGTACACAATAAGATTAAATACATTATACAACTTACAAATACACTTTTATTGTGGACATTGAGATTAATGCTTGATCTTATATAAATCTACAGAGCTGGGAACTTGTGAATGGTGGATATCAGGATTAATGCTTGATCCTCTCTTTTTGCCAATCTCGAGACTAACATAATCTCGAGATTATGTCAGTTTTCAGATTGATTATTTAGATCAACAAATTTGATTCTAGGATCGCCAGATTTGTTCGTTTTTTTGACTGGAAGGGCCTTCACTTACTTTCTCATCATTTATTTATTCATACTAGTTAAAATTAGTTAAAAAAGAATCTTAAACGTATTATTAAATATTTTCTTCATCGATTAATTTACAAAATGGCCGACAGCAAATTATTTATTTATTAGAAATTGCCGAGGTCCCTCATTGGAGAAAACAATGTATGGATATCCAAAGAGAGAAAAAAAGAGTGGATTACGGACTAGAATTAAAAGTTTCCACAGTGGATATTCGGATTAAGTAGAATTGGGATTATAGTTTAATCATTTTAAAGCTCCCAGCTCAGAGCTGAAAACGTTAGAATGAAATATCCTTATCCACGATTAGTTAATTAATTTAGAGATTAAATTCATGAGGACAACAAGCATTATTTAATCTGGAGATGAAGAAAAAGAGTGGATCAATTATTAATCCCGATATCCACCATTCAAAAGTTCCCAGCTCAAATTAATTAAATCTGCATGTGGATATCGAGATCAAGTGATCTGGATTATGGGTATCCAGCACAAAAGTTGCCTGCTCAATATGTAGTAAATGCTATACTCTTAAAAGTTTTCCCCCAAACTGTATCAGTCCAGGTACAACCAGGAACTGATATCCAATTCAACCAGAGCTGAAAACTTTAGAATGTGATATTCTTAATCCCGATCTGTTAATTAATCTGGAGATTAAGTTCATGAGGAAAACAAGCAATATTTAATCTGGAGATTAAGAAAAGAGTGGATCAAGCATTAAACCCGATATCCAGCTCAGGACACAACCCACCTGGCTCAAAATGCCACACAGGGACACAAGCGTAGCTATAAAACAAGCTATTACTCTGGCTCTAAATGTCTCACAGAGACACAAGCGTAGCTATAGAGCAAGCTATTACTCAGGCTCTAAATGCCACACAGGGACACAAGCTTAGCTATCAACAATGTATTACCTACGTTCAAAATGCCACAGAGGGACAGTAGCTTAGCTATCAACAAGCTATTACTTCCGCCTTAAATGCTTCAAAAGGGCACAAGCTTAGCTATCAACAAGCTATATATCGATCCCAAATGATGGGGACAATCCAACTTGCTTATTAAAACAAGGGTTCAGTCTAGCTATCCACAAGCTAGATATCGATCCCAAATGATGGGGACAATCCAACCTGCTTATTAAAACAAGGGTTCAGTCTAGCTATCCACAAATCGATCCCAAATGATGGGGACAATCCAACCTGCTTATTAAAACAAGAGTTCAGTCTAGCTATCCACAAGCTAGATATCGATCCCAAATGATGGGGACAATCCAACCTGCTTATTAAAACAAGGGTTCAGTCTAGCTATCCACAACCTAGATATCGATCCCAAATGATGGGGACAATCCAACCTGCTTATTAAAACAAGAGTTCAGTCTAGCTATCCACAAGCTAGATATCGATCCCAAATGATGGGGACAATCCAACCTGCTTATTAAAACAAGGGTTCCGGCTAGCTATCAACAAGCTAGATATCGATCCCAAATGATGGGGACAATCTACCTGAATACAAGCTTCAGGGTTTCAATTCTACTATCACACAGTAAACAGTACTGAGTTACTCTAGAGAACTGACTTTATTTGTTATCTTATGTCACAAAGTTAACAGGAATTGACGTAGTTACAATTTCTACGATGTTCTGAAATGTCTAGATCTTTGAAATGTCTATATCTATGAAATATCCTTAGTATAATGTGTCCTATTTAACAAATGGTATGATGTCATGATTGGTATTTTTTTCAATTCTATTTGGTCGGGTTCGATAAATATATTTTTTGCTATTTTTCGTGATGTAAAACTATTCTGTCCTCATGTATTCTGTTATAGATGTATAAATGTAGATACTGGAGCTCTAGAGGTTTAAGTATCCTAGTTTCATAAAGTACAGACATAAATTTAAATTGGCCGTGACTCTACGGTTAAACTTCATATATTCGAACGTCTTCTGGTTTTATGTCAGATGCTACACTCTGAACTGAAAAAGACATTTTTTTTTTGGAAAATACTAAATTTCAAATGAACAACTTTACTGTATGGATCGAATACAGGGTATCCACAAAGGATGATACTTCAGAGAAATTTATTCTGTCTGTTTTCTTACATTTATGAATTCTAATTTCTTTCTCTTTCAAATCGTTAAGTAACCCATTTAAAGACAATATTCAGCGCAGATAATCTTGAAATTGTCATATTTTAAGAGTTTAAAGTCCTTTGTGGGTAACCCTGGATATATAGTACACTGAGGTTCTAAAAAATGAGGTTTCTATTCTAATGAAATTAAAAACTATTGATGAAAACACAAACTTTCAAAAAACTAGAAATACTCCTGAGAATAGAGTGGAAAAAAACTTTATCTATATGATAAAGCTCTTCGCTCATATATATTTTTTTAATTTAAAATTTTTTTAGATAGTTTTTTTTAATTACATATATGTTAGCTATTGCTGCATATTGCTGCAGCCAAACGGTTTAACCAAATTGGCTGACATTTTTTGAGGGAACTTAAATAACCCGTGGTTAACATGAGCTAAAATAAAATTTGATTTTTTTTTCAATTCTGAATATATTTTTTCAAAATTTTATGTTTTTTTAATTCTATTTTTTTTTATGTAATTCGAAATTTGTTCTCATGTGTTTTTTTTAATTTCCGCAGGCAATGCCGGGTACTGAGTATAATAATGAAGGATTTTGTATGAGTTGTGAGTGTGTAAAGTAGGTTTATACTACAGCATTATATCTGCACAACGACGCTATTTATATAATTTAATATAATGCTTTTTATTAATATTAGTTTTCCAGTGTTGGGATACAGAAATTCAATGATAACAATTTAAAAATCTATAGATATTACTTGCTCATAACCAATATCCCCCTCTCTCTGTCACAGGCAGCCGTAGTACATTTGAATTTCCGAGCCGGGTCAAACTTTCCGGTCCCAGTTTGTACTGTATCGTCCGGACATTGAGTAAACAAAGCAGACACTCAATAGGACTAGTCGGTGCAACAAGGTTGACGCGGTCAGACTTTAGGTTGAATTTACTTTTACTNGGAGAAGATTAAAAAATATATTTTCCTGAACGTGCATAATCCGAAAACAAACTCTAGAATTCTCGACCAAGAAGACGAAAATCAAAAATTGCAAATAATGATTAGTTGTTTAGGTCATGATTATGGCTCTAATAATATGTACTCAATTTAAACAGACCATATCATTTTATTTAACAAAGGAATGGAGTCTTTGTCTCAAACTCAGATTTTCTTATCCTTAAATCTGTGCAACAGAAAAGCGCCGACCGATAATAATCTAAATTAAGAATTTTGTTAAATCAAATAATTAAGTTTAAAATATCAGAGGGTAAGCCATCAGGTTGGAAAGATCTAGGAATTAGAACATTTGAGTTTTTGGCATCCTTTAACCTCTAAACGGGAAACATATGAAAGCGTGGATTGGAGACTTAGATTTCTTGAGAAAGAAACAAAATAATTTGGGAATATGAGTTTAATTTTTTTCGCAAGTTTCCCTTTAATATCCATTAGTTTGGGGAGAGTTCTTATTTCTCCTTTCCATGTCTATAATGAACAGAACTGGGTTGTCTCTAATCCACTTGATTGATTGATTAAAGATCTCCACTGGGATTAGAAACAGGAGAACAGGCCAGGAGTGTTAGAAGTATCTGCAGATAGTGTACAGGGGGGGGAGAGAATCCGATAGAATTATTGATAGGGTGCAGTGTATAAGGGAAACCAGTCAAACTATCTTTGGATTCTAATGTTTGTTCTATATATTCTTCATATCCTCCTGTATCCTCCTGTATCCTCCCGTATCCTCCTGTATTCTCCTGTATCCTCCTGTATCCTCATGTATTCCTCCTGTATCCTCCTGTATCCTCCTGTATCCTCCTGTATCCTCCTGTATCCTCCTGTATCCTTTTGTATCCTCTTGTATCCTCTTGTATCCTCTTGTATTCTCATGTATCCTCCTGTATCCTCCTGTATCCTCATGTATCCTCATGTATCCTCCTGTATCCTCTTGCATCCTCCTGTATCCTCCTGTATCTTCCTGTATCCTCCTGTATCTTCCATTATCCTCCTGTATCCTCATGTATCCTCATGTATCCTCATGTATCCTCATGTATCCTCATGCATCCTCATGTATCCTCATGTATCATCATGTATCCTCATGTATCCTCCTGTATCCTCCTGTATCCTCCTGTATCCTCCTGTATCTTCCTGTACCATCCTGTAAATTCCCTTGAACCCCATGAAAAGTTTTTGAATCAAACTTTCTGATTGATACCATTGTCAAAACTCAGCAAGCCTAATCTATTCCAAACCCAGCTATTCTCTTGATATAAATACTTGTTTAACACATCCATTTATCAAATTCAGAAGAAATATAATTAATATAAACGAAAGAGTGCTTTGCTCTTTTCTATCGTCTTTTCATTACATGTTTGCATCCAATCTACAGTAGTCGGCGTTTGTATTAATAGACGAATTTTCTATTTATGTTTTGATTTATGACAAGCTTTTTTTCAAATTACAAGTTTGCATGTAAAGTTCGAAAGCAATTAGTAGAAATCAAAATTGAAATATGTTTTCATTGTAATTATTTATACGAAGAAAACCATGTAGAATATTTTTTCATAATTCTAATAATTGTCGATCAAACTTCTTGTGAAAAATCTTGAAAAGTCAAGAAATTATAAAGTGCCAGGTATTGGAATTAGTTCTTACCTTGACGCATAGTTAACAAGTGCGTACTCCAGTAGTGCACTGAATACAAAGAATACACAGAAACCAGTCCAAACATCAATAGCCTGAAGGAAAAAATAGGTATTGTCAAATGTTAAATAGTTGGTGAGCTAGCTATCTTGAATATAATGTAAACAACTAATAGATGAGAAACCAGATCTACAGGCACCTTCAACAATATTTGTGAAAATATTACATTTTGCTGTTCATCTTTATATACAAAGTAGTAATCTCTGTTTGTTTGTTTGTATGTCCAATCATAACTCAGGAACCCCTTAACCGATTCGCCTCAAATACGATTTGAAAATTCTATATCGAACCACGGGAATGTTCTTGGCTAGGTTTAAAAGTGTTCTTAGTTAAATAGGTTGACTCTAAAAATCAAACATATTTTGTTTAAAGGCAAAGCTTGGTTCCCAGGCTAGGCTACTATATTGAATTTCAATGGAGAAACTGTTTTTGCTTTTTTCTATGGATCTCTCTACTCCGTTATCAAAGGGTTCAACAAGAAAACTCATTGATTTAAGTAAAACAATAGAAGGTTTAGAACCTTGGGATAGTAACCTCACATCTAGATATATTCAGTTGGCCGGGTTAATATATAGTACAGTTCCGTGGGTTCATGCAATACACAATACACCATCTTTTAAAGGAATATATAGTTAAGTTCCGTAGGTTGATGCAATACACAATACACAATCTTTTAAAGGAATATATAGTAAAGTTCCGTGGGTTCATGCAATACACAATACACAATCTATTAAAGCAATATATAGTACAGTTCCGTGGGTTCATGCAATACACAATACACAATGTATTAAAGGAATATATAGT